TTCTCCCTTCCTCTCTCTGAAATCAATAAAGATTTTTTTTTTTTAAAGAGTAAAACAAAATAAATATGTATATAGTGGTATAATTGCTCTGCAGAAAATTAAAGCAGGGAAGACGGAGAGGAGAGAAGGGTATATGTGGGGATAGGATGGCGATGAGTTTTAAATTGGATAGTCAGAGAAAGCATCACGGAAAAGGCATTTGAGCCAAGATTGGGGATAAAAGAGGGGTCATGCAGATATATGAAGAAATAGGGTTCTAGGTGGAGGAAACAGCAAAACCCATAGGCTATGCCTGGCCTGTTTCAAGGACAGCACAGAGGCCGGGAGAAGAATGGGCGAGTAGAAGGGTAGTCTGAGGTGAGGTCAGGGAAGTGTTTGGAGCAAGATCATGTAGGGCCTTGGACTGGTGTAAGGATTCTAGCTTTCACTCTGATAAGACTTGGCTGACTTATGTTTGATAGAGATCATTCTGGCTGCTGCATTGAGAACCAACCTGTGATGTGCAGAAGGTAGGGGGAAAAAAGACCTTTCAAAAAGCTATTGCAACAATCTAAGTGACAAAGGCCCATGAGCCCATTTACTGAGCTCTTACTGGGTGCTAGCATTTTATATATGTTACCAAATTGAATTCTTACCACCACCCTATGGGGTGGGGTATTAACAATCTTCTTTTATAAATGACGAAACAAAGAATTTAAGCCATTTGCTTAAGATGTCATTGTAAATGGTCAAACCAGGGAGGGAGCCAGATTTTTTAACTTGCAAGCTGCTTGTGCTATCCAACATATGTCCCTCTACTCAGGGCTCTTTGAAACGCTCCTGAGAGCCTGTCTGCTTGACCAGGTCAACCACAGTTGCCAGGAACCATCTTGGACCTTCTGGTGACCCTCTTTACTTTGCTCTGATTCTCATCTCCTTAACTTCTCAGTGTGAAAACTTCATTCTCATCTGTATCTTAGGATCCAAACTTTCTGTCCCTGAAGACCTTGACACCCTATAGCCTCCTGAGGCTACCTCAAATATGCCTCCAGGAAATGGTCCATGTGTCCTGTATTCCAGAAATCTACAAAATGATGGGCTCCCTTTCTCTAACAACATGAACTCTTAATTCGTGCCACTTGAGTTGCCACTTAATCCTGTAATGACTACTCTTTCTATTTCCTTATTTCAGGGATGGCTGGCTTCCCCATCAAAAATGTACTTTTTATATGGCAGGTGCCATACAAAGTTGTGGTTGAAAGTGGCAACCCGCCCAGGAATTGCATTTTCCAGCAAGTGTACAAGCACATACCTTGCATCTGGGTGGACCATATGACTAGTTAACAGCAATGAAGCGTGAGCAAAAATAGCATATGTCACTTCTGGGTTTAGGTGATTAAGAAGTGAGACTATTTGTTACAGCAGCTGGAATTACTCTAATTAATACTGCTACTTAGCAGAGATTTCCTAAATATTTGTTTCTACTGGTCTAAGAACATCAGCAGAATTCTCAGGTATGGATTTTTTGCCATCCACACAGTTCTCTGCTCACCCAACATTTCACTAGCACAGTCGAAAAACAAATGCTTCCCTTAATTTAGTCAAAGCCACTGGTTCGTAAATTCATCCACACCAAGTACCTCTTGTGTTTGTTTCCCCCACTATGGTCCCCAGGTTCTGAAAGATGCTGTCAGCCAAATTTAATTAAGAATTTGAGTTCTTATTTGTTATCAAGTAAAGACATTGCTGCCAATAAGAGCTTCCGACTAGCATAAGATTGTCATTGTTATCCCAGGCAGTTGATAAAAGTCCAGCATGATACAAAGAAACTTGATGATTTCCTCAGCCTGTGTTGTTGGGATAAATGTGTTTCCCCCATCTAGGTTTTTGAAAACTAAAAGTGTCTGGTGGGTCTCTGGAGACCTGGGACAAGCAAAGGAATTCTGGTTTGTATGGCCTGAAAGTTACCCCAAGACAATCATAATTTTCTGATCCCAGGTGGCTCCTAAATAACAGGTACTATTGGTAGGCTAGACACCAAGGGGTGCTTAAAAATCTGTTTCCAGCTGCCCTCAACTAGGTAGAATTGAGGCATTTTTAAGCTTACCTGGAAGAATCTGGCTCCCAAGTGCTTAAAAATCAGAACGGCTATGTAAAATCAAAAATTTACCCTCTCATCATCTCAACACACAAGGAAACAGTTGAATGCACTGCAGTTACATCAGAAAGATACCCCCTCAGGACAGAACAGCAGAGCTGTAATAGCTGGGTAGGGAAATTAGGCTGCCCACAGTTCTCATATGCTGAAGAGCAAAGGAGAAAAAATGCAAGCAACACAGGAGGAGGAGAGTTCTACAGAGAGCCCAAAGATTAAGAATTTTCCCTTAAATATTGATTACAAGGGTCTGATGACCTGCAGCTCTCTCTCTTCAAACCCCAGTTTAATTGACTTTCTTGAGAACAATACTGTCTGTTAATGCTGTCTTGAACATAATTTCCTTCAGGAACTCCTGGGCTGAAAATGATGCCAGGGCTATTTATTCCACCTTCCCATGAGGAAGTCAGGGCCAGAGTTTCTTGACAGAATCATTGAAGTAAGCTCTCCTTAAAATCACCAAGGTGACAACTGTTTACCTCTCTCACCTTAGCAAATCAATCTCTTTTAGGACCAGCCCATGGCGAAATGGGCCACCATACAAAGAGAAAAGGGGAAAGAATGTAGAAGAGAAAAAGTCTGATCAAGTATGTCTTCAGAGATGCATCCTACTCCTAGTCTCACAGCCATAAATGTCGGTGTAGGTCAAAGAAACCACTTAGAACACTACTTCTCTATCTTACCTGGGCATTAACACCACCTAGAAAGCATTTTAAAAATGTAGATGCCAAATATTATCCTCCATAGATTCTGATTTAATTAGTATGGACCAATAAACATTAATATGGACCATGAAGAATATAAAAGTTCACGGGGGCAGGGGGTGGGGGAAGCAGCAGCCTCCCAGAATGGGAGGGGAGTTCAGGACTTTACTGGAAGGAGGGGGGACAATGTCAGTCCAGTTACCATAGGTGATAAGTCAACACATGGGCTCAGGCATTCAATCCCTACCTAACACAGACTCTTCCACAACCCAGGGAGCTTACTGCCTCCTGATGGCCCAGAGTTATTGAGGAGTTGGCGACCCTCAAATTCAATCCAGGTCTTTGAGAATTTCAGGCCAAATTGTCATCAATTCTGAGCTCCTGCCCAAAGGGGAGACATGAACAATTAATGTCTGTGATAAGGCCAAGAGTAGTCAATACTATTAGAGAGAGAGAGCTAACAGCCCTTGCATCAAGGTGCACCTTTCACCTTTCTCTACTCCTGACTGTGATCTTGACTTTGATCACCAGGTAGCCTAGGCAGCAACGCGGCTGGCAATTAATCTCTTTGGAGAAGGAGTGTTCTGTAGTCTGATCGATCCCAGAAGAGGGCCCACACTCAGCTTCCACTCTTGTCCTGAGGTAATTCCCTCCTAGAAAGTGAGGGCTGGTTCTCTGGGATTTCTCCCTCCCTACAATACATATACAAAGACCAGTTAATATCTGCACCTATTTTGGTGCTCATTGGTGCATGTTGACCAATGAAAGTTTTGGATATTTTTCATTAGGGGACAGATCCACAGATTTCAGTACTCACTAATCTCACCTCCAAACTTCCCTACTTGCCACTCCCTCCTTTCACTTCAGGGATCCAAGAGTGTACCCAAGGTGGAAGCTTCCAGTCTTTCCAGTGTGGAGTCCTCAACCTATATGGACTTCCACCACACTCCTGGCCTGAGCAAATGCTCTCTCTCCCATGCTCCTCTAGGTGCTCCAAGTGAGAATATTCTTCTTCCAAAAAGACAGGGCTATGGGGGGATAGAGTTCATCAACACCACTTCTGTTTCCTTTTCAGCACTGCCAAGCAAAAGTTATACAGGTGACACTCAATATCGAATTGGCGCCCACTGCCATGGCTTGTTGGATGTGTGTTGAGAGTAGGAGGTAGTTAATTTGTAAATAAATAATGATTTAGACTTGTACTGAAATCATCAATGAACATGAAGCACCTACTGGGCATGTAGCCATGTACAGAGAAAGAAGAAAGGGAAGTCATCATGACTGCTTTTAGGGGCTTCCTATGTGTCAGGCACTGTGCTAAACCTGTACATATAATAGTTCATTTGATCCTCACCACCATCCTCGGGGGTTGGTGTAGTTATTTCCATTTTGCAGATAAGAAAGCTGAATCTTAAAGAGGTTAAAGTCTTCTTGCTGGTAAGTGGCAGAGCCAAGACTTGAATCCAGAACACTGTGAGACCGTGTTCTTAATGCTTGTACTCAAACAGTCATCTTGTTGGACCTGTGACTCTCTCAGCCACAACCATGTTCACTTAAGCCCAGAAGTAAACAGCTTCCGTTCATAAGGAAACCAATGGAATTGAAATTCTAAGCCCAGGACACACTTAGAATGCTAGACCTTTGGCACATCATCTCACTGAATCCTTCAGTAGCCTGCATGTCTGCTGTCATTATAGCTGACCTTTAGAATTTACAGTCAACATTTGGGATGTTGACTATTTGAGAACAGCCCCAAAGGTCCTATACATAAAACAGTCTTACATTAAACAGTCTGATTTGGCTGTGGAGTGAAAATGACACGTATGCACTAGGAAGCTGGCATGAGCCAGTCCCTTTAGTGCGTGAGAGAGCTCACCCCCAGGCTATGACCTCCATGTGTCAGGAAGTGATGGCAATAACTGCTTGTGAACTACAGCTCCCAAAGAAACAGACTGCTAGCCCTTGTCACGGCAAGTTTACACTCAGTGATAAATTTCTTTTAAAAAATTTATAAATGCCTGTAGCCCTGTATTCACAGAATCACTAAAGGACAGAAATCACTTAACTTGTTAGATTATGCATGACTGCATGCACAGGGGAAATAATGTGCTCTGGTGGCATGTGCACAAGCTCCTTGTCTGTCCAGAGAACAAACGCCTCACCTTAGGCCTGTTGTCGATAAATGAGATCTTGGTCACAATGATGAAGAGGGTGTTGAAGATTCTCAAAGATCCCAAGAGAACTCTTTCATGAGTGTCAAGTCTAGAATGTTTCAGCATTCTATAGAAGAGGAAACTGAAGCTGAAGAAGGTCCTAGGACTTGCCCGAGAATATCTGGCTACTAAAAGCCAACATGCACCCCTCCCTACAATCCAACAGTAAGGCATCCAAAATATGCCAAATCCTGCATGCAGACCCAATCACATGCAGACTTGAGAGGATATAGGGGAAGGAAGGCTACAGAAGGGAGGGCGCTTTCCCTGGGCTCCCCACTGTCCTTCCAAACCCTTATCAGAGCTGGCGTAGGAATGGCAGAGCTGCGAGCTTACCTTTTGACCACATCCAGTTAGAGCAATCAGTTCAACCAAGATGCTGATAACTGTGAGCTCAGTACAGAGGGCCCAGAGGTAATTGTCGCTCCCCCTTCCCTCAAGATGCAGTCTTAAAAACCACAGGAAATCAGAAGAAGACCCAAATACCTAACACACTATTTACTTTGTCTGTTTCACCCCACTAGACATTGAGTAATTGAACCATCTAGTTACCTCAGTGTTCCCAGGGCCAAGATCAGTACCAGTGGCTTAGCTTCGTCTGTCAAAGGAGGGAGTGTTTTCTTTTGCAAAGAAGCTCAAGAATCTTAGACCAGAAGGAGGGGCCCCACTGGGATCAAGGAAGCCTTCCTGATGGGAAAGACCTGGAAGAAAGAGGGAAATGGCATGGAGGTGGACCAGGGCAGGGCATAGGGCACAGGGAGAGGTTCAAGTCAGCCCAAGCAGTTATGTAAAGCTGGGGCTGAAAGGGAGACTCGGGCCTCACTGTGTGGCATGGTGAGTGGCAGGCGGAAGAGCCTGGAGTTTATTAGCTACATAGTGAAGAGCCGATAAAAAGCTTCAGAGCAGGGCAGGAAACTGCCGAGCAGGTGGGGGGCTGTGCAAGTTCAGCAGGAGAGGAGGCACCCCCTCTCCACTTCCTGAAAGCAAGTGCCCAATAAACAAATAATAGCCAGTGCTTCTTAGGCACCTACTATGTGCCTGGCACATGCCATATACCTGTTTAATCTTCAAAATAACCCCATAAGACAGGTAATTGTCTAACCTATTTTAAAAGTGAGGAAACTGAGGCACAGAGAGGTTATAGGATTGCCCTACTGTGAAGAGGCAAAGCCAGAATCTTAACTCAGACTTGACTCAAGGTCCAACAGGCCAAGAAAGCTGGTTCAGCCCCCTGTGCTGATGAGAACAGAGACTGAAATGAGGAAGATCCTCACACAAGGCCGGGCTTGGAAGACTGGTGCTGAACTTCACGTGACCCCAGCTTTGGAGACAGACAAATCCAGATTTGGATCACAGTTTGGTTATTCATCACTGTGTGATTGTAGGCAAATGACATGAGCCCTTGGGGCCTCAGTTTTCTCATCTATAAAATGTGTGCAAAACCACCCATCTCACAGGATCTCTGTGAGGGTTAGAAGGATCAATCACGCATTATCCAGCATGTGCCAGGTGCTTAGTAAATGGTGACATGCAAACCTGGTGGCGTATGGGAAGGAGGGGCAAAAGGCTGTGGCCTGGCTTAGCCACTGTGGGTAGAGGAAGTCTTCGTTTCTGAGAGTAAGATATAAACTTTTGGGAGTGTCACGGGTCAATATCTGCCTTTGGCTAAACATAGAACCTTGATATTCATCTCAACAAAACTGGTACCTGGCGCTTTCAGGGCTAACAATTTCAAACACTGCTCCACAGCAAAAAGAACCAGAATTTGGGGCCCTCACGAGAGTCAGGGACACGGGGCTGTTACAAGAAGGAGGAATTCCTAGAAAAGCCTGAAACCAGGACACAGTTGTGAGGTCCCCAGCTCTCCTGCCTAATCACTGTGTACTTGAGAGTCACTTTTCCTCTCCGAGCCTATTTCCTCCCAAAGCAAGGGGCTTAATACTCCTTACTTCACAGGGTTGCGATGAAGCACAAGGGAAATAAGAAATGAGAAGGGGCTTTTAAGCTATGCAGATTAAAAGAATTAATTTAAATTTCTCCAAGACAGTGGTTGACCTTCATCACCTCAATAAAGCCATAGGAAATAAAGCTGTAGATGAAGTACCCACCCCCATCTGAAAGAGAAAAAAGAAACACTGTTGGACAAACACTCAAGACACTAAAGGTTTCTTCTATTGAAGTATCATTCAATGATGAATTGAGAACTACAACTGTTAAAAGAATCATTTCTCTATGATCATCAAGATGCAAACACAAAGTTGTTCAATCTTCTCAGAGCTTGTATACCCGAGAGCCCAGGGAAGATGCCGGGAAGTTGGGCTCTCGTTTCCGCAGAACGGAGCTCATAGCCCTAGATAGGAAGAGTCAGTAGACCCAAATCCTCACAATGAAGCCTGCTGTCTTCTCTCTGGATTTTCCCTCACTTTAGAAAATAGGCCAAACTCACTCCACCTCCCAGCCTCACCCTTAGGTCTCTTGCAACTGGAATGTGCCCAGGGAAAAAACAGGCAATCAGTGACATGGTCCCAGAGCAAGACCAGGGCAGGCCCACAGCAGAGGCCTGGGCACCCAGTCTTGATTTCCAGAGAAATGCTTCTCTTCTGGTCAGCTGCACCCAGTCTCTGAGCTGAGAGAGTATTGGGGGTTTCCTGGCCTCACCTCTGAGCCTGGGCCAGATGGTGTTCAAATAAACTAAAGGGTACCCACTCCCTTCAACCTCTCAACCCCTACTCCCCCCACCAATCAAAAGCAGTAGAGAAAAAATACTTTGAGTTTTCACTTGGTCTTCAAGCAGACAGGTTATTTAGAATCACAACCCCCTCCTCTGTTTGGGCTCTTCCCAGTCATCTGGAATGGGTGTATGCATGTAGCAGGAACATGTCCAACTTAGGGGCTCTGAGCCTGAACACAGAGTGAGAGTGGGAGGAAGATTTTAAAGATGTTGTTCTACTTTCCTTGGCCTACATGGTTTTGGATGAGAGAAGTCTGCAGTTATTTGAGCAGGTTTTCCTAATGCCTAAGTGCCATATTTCCCTGGCTGCTCTCAATAATTTTTTTTTTAATCTTTGGTTTTCAACAATTTAACTATGATGTGGCTAAGTAGTTGTTGAGTTTACCCTGTTTGGGATTCACTGAGATTCTATAATTTGTAAATTTATGTCTTTCATCAAATTTGGGACATTTTCATCCATTCTAACTTCAAATATTTTTCCTGCACCAAAATCTTTTTTTTTACCTTTTGGAATGACACTCAATAACAGGAATTTTTCAACTTTTAATGTTGTCCCACAGTATCCTGAGACACTCCTCATTTTTTTCCAATAAAAAGTACATTTACAACCTAAAACTAATTATTGAATGCCAACTGTAATTAAAAATTTTTAAGTTAAAACATCAAAAAGTACATTTACAAATATTATGTAATTTCCATTGATCTATCTTCAAGTTCACTGCNGAAAATTTTTAAGTTAAAACATCAAAATTACATTTACAAATATTATGTAATTTCCATTGATCTATCTTCAAGTTCACTGCCTTTTTTCCCCCTGTCATCTTTTTTGTCATTGAGTCCATGCAGTAAATTTATTACTTCAGATGTTGTGTTTTCAGTTCTAAAACACCCATCTGGTTATTTTGTATAGTTTCTATTTTCTGCTGAGAACTTCTATCTTTTAATTCAAGAGTGGAAAATGGTTATAAATAGTTACTTTAAGTCTGTCTGATAATTGCACCATCTGAGTCATCTCAGGGTTGGAACATGCTGTCTTTTCCTTTGAGTATTGTTCAGATTTTCCTGGTTTTTTAATATTGAGTAAACTTGGGTTGTACACTGGACTTTTGAATAGTATGTTGTGAGACGGGATCTTACTAAAAACCTCTGAAAAAATGTTGATATTTTTGTTTGTTTAGCAGATAATTAACTCACCTACATTCAAATTGAAAGTTCTGTCTTACCTTTTGTAACTGCTAACTCTGGTTTCAGTTTGGTTTTCAAAGCATTTCACAGGCCATTTGGGTCTTCCTGTCACATAGGCAACTCATAGGTTTACCTGGGACTTGGGTAGTGTTCATATCAGAGTTAAGTTGTCAAAACCTTTGTTGTGTTTCTTTGGGTCTGTACCATGCACGCAAGCACACCTTGTAGTATGCCCATGACTTACATCAGTCCATACACAGACTTAGTGGGTCCCTTTTCTATCTCTCTGGCTTCCAGTGGCTCCTTTTCCTGGTTCCCCTGGCTGAAAAGATGGGGTTAACCCAGTGACTATCATTTTTGTTTCAGTAAATACTTAAACGAACCAAATTTGTGTGTCTGAGTGGATCCTTTGAGAAGCCATGTAGCAGAATGGGAGGATAACTGCATATGGTGGGCGAGGAGATCTGGCTTCCAGGACTGGATCTCCTTTGGGTCTGAGTTTTCTGTTCTAAATCATGACTACCCAGAATAAACTGATCTTTACCTGCACATAGCTGACCTTTGTAAAAGGCAAATGGAATTGGGTCATTTTTAAGTTTACCCTCCAGTATCTTCCTGATACACACAGAATAAAATCCAAACTCTTTAAAAAAGAAGTCTTTATTGATTTCAAAGAGAGAAAGGAAGAGAAATACCAGTGGTGAGAGAGTCATTGATTGGCTGCCTCCTGCATGCCCCCTGCTGGGGATTGAGCCCACAGCCCGGGCATGTGCCCTGACTGGGAATCGAACCACTATCTCCTGGATCATGGGTTGATGTTCAACTGCTAAGCCACGCTGGCCAGGCAAATCCACTCTTTAAGCTACCCTCTAAGACCTGTTGTGATTTTTACTGCTGCTTCTGTTATCTGTACCCTCATCTGCTGCTGCTTCCCCACAGCCCTCACATTCCAGCCATACTGACCTAAGGTTCATCCCTCCCACTTCACCATTTCCCACATGTACCAGCGTCCTCAACCTTGAGCTGAAATTTCTCTCTCTGTCAAATATATAAATGTCCTGACTTCCATGCAAACTGCTCAAGAACTTCTGTGAGGCTCTCCCAGACTCTCCCAGTCCTTCCCTTCCTGTGTCCCATCGCTCTCTGGAAGCACCCTAGTAGCACTTTCTGGTGGATGGTAATCACATTTTATAGGTCCCTCTCTTACTATACTGGTGTCTTTCAAAATATGTATTAATTTACAGTAGTGGATCTAGAAATCTATTTAGAGCCCAGTACCAGCCTTTAAAAAATAGGCTACACTAATTAAGAAAATAGAAAAATTCATTGCATGTAATAAGGGTGGATCATGTTTCATGAAACTTTTGTCTTGGATACTTAGAAAGATAGATACAGAAAGATGACAGACAATGAACTCCTATGGATCCATGTCCCAGATTCAATAATCATCGACTATGTCCAATCTTATTACTACCCACTCCTGTACCTCCTAGATTATTTTGAAACAAATTACAAACAGCATGTCATTTCATTCATAAATATTTCAGCCTGTATTTCTAAAAAAAATTAAAACTTTTTTAAAGTAACTACAATACCGTAAAATATATTAGTTATTGTTGNTATGTTGGTTGTTATTGTTGGTAGCTGTCAAAAAAGCTTGTAAGATGTACAAGCTCCCAGGGACAGGTGCCACTTAATTTATCTCCACATTCTCAGGGCTGGGCACTCAGTAAGAGCTGAGTAATGGAGGGAG